TGGCAAGAAAGGTTAGGTTAGCGATTGAAAAAGGCCGCTTATTACACCCACGATGATCATGGCATGACTGAGATGACTCCTCCCAGTCGTCCTCAGAATCCTGGCATGCATGACGCCACGTCCACGGAGCAAGAGGAAATTGTACGTTATGCAATGTGAAACAACATGATGGCTTCGATATCAGGCTTGCATGTGCCCAGACGTACTTTATTGGGGCTGGCTCCCGTCGAGGTGGAAGATGTCGAGAAATCTGCCTCGAAAATGGGTTCATTTTTGCCTACGATGACAAAGAGGGACATGCTACGCTGGTGTGAAGACGATTGCCCGCCTGTTCTTTGAGAAAGAGGTTAGGTGCAGGTCGTCAAAGCGGTTCACAGGTAGGAAAACGTACGTAGAGAGCACCGCCTCGACACGAAGACATGGCATGGTCGCCCAGATAAATTGTTATGAGGAGGCCACAAAGCGTGCCGTGAGTTGCTCAGGATGTACAGCACGTCGGGGCTATTTTTACAACACCTCAAGCCCTTTGACCAGATTGTCGCATACCATGTATCTGACCAAATTCTTCTCGAGTGGCATGGATAGATTTTTCCCCGATGCGCTAAAAAGATGACCCAAGAAACAATTACGTCCCCGGGAAACCGCACTTCTTCACGTGTTGTACGATGCATGAGATAGCCAGTAGAGCGTGCTTCTTACGATAGACTTCCCGCCGCCCTCACTCATTCCAAAATTTGCTCATTATCGTGCATAACGCGGTACACAAACGCACCACTGTACATTTAGACAAATCGATGCGGAATGACACCAAACGACCTTTGATGACTCGCTACAAGCATCGCTTTTTCGAGGTCATTCCTTCTCCCACCTCTTCTGTCCGCTGAAGACTCAGGAAGTTTATGCCCTCTCTCTTGAATCTGTGCAGGGCGCATGCGCGTGAGTACATTAATGCACTCAAGCACTGCCGAGAAATTCAACACGATCATACCCTACCCTTGCGTGGGCATTTTTCCGACGCCCCCTTGGGATTAAAAAAGAAAAAAATGTCAACCACACGATGGCGGGGCTCAGACGACGACAGTAAGCGAATCCTAGACTGTCGCTAGTACCGCAACGCTATACGGACAGAAAAAGGACCGATAGTGCCCACCTTGCGTTGCGTTCGAACAAAATCTGTGGGGTCGCGAAGTTGTGTGGTCGATGAAGCAGGCGTGTCGATGCGTGCCTGGTCAAAGGCTGTTTGGAAATGTCGCGTGACAGCGTGTTGAAACTAAATGTTCCACTTGGCTGCTTGTAAGAGATGGACTTCGTCGAACAAAAGCTCAACTCGTCGACCGGGGCTTTCGCACGATTCAGAAGTGAGGAGTTGTCTGAATAGCCACCAGTCACTCATCTCATTTATACGTCTTTCCTCCTTTTTCCGCGTTTCCTTCCGTTGCATCAACCCCATGTCATGAACCGTACAGACCTTCGCATCTCTTCTACCATGGTAGCTCACAACCAATCTGCTGGGCACGTCACTTTTCGCCCTTTCAGCAAGCCTGAGAACCCAGAGGCGCCCTACCTGACGGTGCAATCGGATAAGGTGAATGGGGGGAAGACTTTTGTAGGGGCTCATGGTTACCCTGTGACAAATGGCTTGCTTCTCCCTGCGATAGGTCTGGCATGTCGTCTCCGACATCCCACCTCCCTCCTCCCTAACACCCTATCCTTTCTCTAGCTTCCCCCATGCTCCACTATCTCACCCGACTCGCGCTCGTCTTTGTTCCCGCATTCCTTTACGTTGGCAGCATTGTTCGCTGCTCCCCATTTTCATAACCGTCCTTCCTCCCTTCCTTCTCCCTAGCCCGTGGCTGTGCCAGCTTACAGCGAGCACTCCTTATGGACGGTGGAGCACCTGCCCAACGACGAGGTCGCCCTCAAGGGCTACAACGGGCACTACTTGAGCGTCAACAGTCACTTTCAAGGTATTTTCAGAGGGGAAAAGGGAAGGGAGATCGGTTTATGTGATGGACATATGTATAAATATGGAAGGAAACTCGGTTCAAAGTGGTGGATAAGACAACGGCCAGGGTATTCTCAAGGAGGCAGAGGGAATCGCCCCGTTCCACGCCCCCCTTGTCCCCCCCACCACCACCACCCAGTCCACATGGCGAAAGAGTTGTCGAAAGAGTCGCATCTGCAGTTTGTGACGCATGCGGACTTCCCCGGGTGTGTGGCCATCAAGGAGACGGTGCATCATACCTTCCTTGCGTAAGGAGGGA